TATGCACAGGTAGCGCAAATAACCAACAACATTCCAGAAACAATTGCGAATGGAATGCTTGGTTACGTGGTTAAGATAGCCTATGAGAAATAGGTGCCACTTACTTAGCTACTCTACTACTATTAAGTAGGTTTTAATTTTAACTAATAAAGTTAAACGTCGGCAGCAAATATATTTTATCTTCAATAGCCAACTTTTAGCAATAACAGCAAAGTTTGAACCAGTAACATATTTAGTTGATATTATAAAGTCCTTTTTTGCGAGTATAATTTATAAGTATATAGTAAGTTAATGTAGTTTTAAAACAAAAATTCTAAGATAAATAAGTAAAAAATGAATATATACGTTAATTTAATATATTATAAATGTTAATTTTACTGAAGAAATGTGTTTCCACAATTTGTGTCAATTCGTGTTAAATTGTGTCAAAGTATTATATTTTTTGTGTTAATTTTACATAATGTTATTTCTTAACATACTATTGGGTTGTTCGGAAAATAATTTCGTTTTTTCCCAACAGAGGACTTAATTGTATTTTTTCACAGCCAACTTCACACTTAAGCCGCATAATCATTATATATTTTGACAGCTGATATAGCAAGGCTTGCTTGTGAAAAAAGTTCGATTGATTCTACGCAGTAGTTTTTGGTTGGTGCCCTATCAAATATGGAAAGTGAAAAGCAGCATTTTCGGCATATTTTACTTTTTTACTATCGAAAAGGTAAAAATGCTGTTCAAGCAAGAAAAAAATTATCCGATGTGTATGGAGAAGATGTATTGACAGAACGCCAGTGCCAAAACTGGTTTGCAAAATTTCGATCCGGCAATTTTGATGTTGAAGATGCACCACGTTCTGGAAGGCCAGTTGAAGCTGATGAAGACACAATAAAGGCATTAATTGATGCAAACCAGCGAATAACAACTCGTGAAATCGCTGAGAGATTAAATTTATCGAATTCGACCGTTCATGATCATTTGAAACACGTCTGATTGAAAATCGTCTTTCATTTTCATAAGAAAAAACGAAATTACTTTCCGAACCTAATATTATTAAAATATTTATCTTATATTAAATTAATACAAAAATTTAAAAGAATTGTTTGAATGAAATATGATGTTTGAATTGAAACATGAAATGTGTTTTTAACAAAAATTTTCTAATTATGTATTCAGATGCTTGCTGCGGAATATTACTGCTGATCATCGAAAATTTCGTCGTATGATTTCGCGCCGATAATGACTTCCCTGCAGCTAACTACCACGCCGAGGCAATTAACAGACTCATGCATTTAGATGATACTTGGTAGGAAGGATGTGGTGTTAAATCACGCAGATTCTCGGATCGGATTTAATTTACAATTCTCTGTACTGTGTAATCAGCCTCGGTAAAATGGCTTCTAACCGCTCGAATCCATATCTCACACTCGCATTTCCACACCATTTCTCGTCGAGGTGTTTCTGAAAAATTCGACTTATAGTCGCCAGCAACTTCTGCGTGTAGTTCGTGATTGCATTCATGAAAATAATCTTTATAAGGGTTTCGCGTGTTACTGCGCAAGTTAATTGCGTGTCGGGTATAACAGATGTTTTAATTTAGTTCAAAAGAAGTTCTTCACGATTAAATTCAAAATGTCAAATGATAAAATGTACATATATTATAAAATAAGTTTTTATAACAATTTATATAACAGCATATTTCCGAATATAAAAATATGTCTTACATAAGAAAATAATCTTCGTTTTAAAGAAATATGGATGTAAATTTAACATTATGCGATGTTTATATAATTCTTACCGTATCAATTAAGATAAACATTAATATAGTATAGATTTAATATATTGATTTAAAATTTATTAAATTTGTTGGTTTATTAACGCTAACATAGTGAGAATTAGATTTAACATCCATGTGTAGTATTAAATCCCGTATTTTTTAGAGTGTAACAATTAAAATCATTAGTCAACTGTTAGTTTATGACAATTTTATTCCTGCTATTTGTCACAATATTTCACAATGTTATATTTTCTTTTCAGCGATTTTGCTTGTACTTATGCAACTTTGATAACACAGTCCAACAAGAAAATCTGCGGCAAGCAGAGCCAGTATTTCTTAGAGGTCGTTGAATACAAATCCACCAAAAATACTCATCGTCAGGTTTTTAAAATAAATTGGACAATATGGAATGGGTCAAAAACAACGTTTCTTGCCATATTTACCATTTTTTTATGGCCAAACAAAGTTTGATCCAAAATGATAGATTAAAATTGGAAAGTAAATAGATTTGTATATTATTAAAAAGTATCTTTGGATTTTTGAGACCGCTGATACTAAACTCAAAATTTTTCTATTCAAAATGGCGGATCTAATATGGCGGACCGAATGTTACTTTTTGCATTTTGTCCTTTATAATGGTCCGCCATTTTGAATATCGAAATTTCGAGTTCAAATTCAGTCAGCGACCCCGAAAACTCTAGGATACCATTTTCATATAAATCTATTTACTTTCCTATTTCAATCTGCCAATTTGGATCCGCTATTTTACATTTCAGAAAATGTTCATATCTTGATGAAAAAATTGCACAGTAAAAAATGAAAATTCCTTTTAAAGATGAAAATTAGCTCTTTGTGGTGTTAATTGAAAAATAAAATTTCGTTTGATAAAAAAATGGTAAATATGGCAAAAAATGCTGTTTTTGATTCATATTACTCGATTTATCTAAAAAGCCTGAACGTGATGGGCATCTTTCGCTGACAAATTTCGATTCAGCGACCTTGAATTTAGGTATTAAAAAATACTGGTCGTGATCACCGAAGGAAAGTGTAAAAAAAAATTTTGTCGGATAGTGTAATTTCTCACGCTAATGCTTTTGCGTCGTACTCTTTTGACGATTAAGATTGTGCACTGATACAGTATCAGAAATTCTTTATGTAGCCTAAAGAAAGCGCTTTCTGGCGCGGTAAGTTTGAAGATTGAGGTCATTCGAAGCGATCGATACTTTTCCCTCTATACTTGCGTGTAACATCGCGTGTAACATTCGGAAATACACTTCGATCTCGCGTGCGGCAACGAAGTGTATTATTCCTAATTATATCCCTTAATTTGAACTCGCGTTCTAATTAACCGACTAGTCCCGACGTTATTTTGGCCGCATGATCGAAGGTAATCGCCGAGAAAGTTCTCGAGCCAAGTAAAATATTTTGCGCTTTACGATGGAAGGAAAACGATCCCATTGCACAGTGTCGCGAATGCTTCAACTCAAAACAGTTCCAGTTTTCTCTGACTTGAATACGTAAGACGGAGAAATTCACTGGCAAGATAACAAATGCGAGGCGAGGTATGGATAGGTATTATATGTTTTTCGCCGCAATGCCGAGTTTTGGAGGATCGATCTTGTCCGTTGTAAAGCGTTAATCTGTATCGCAAACTCGTTGCCTGCGAAAGCTTTTTTCGGCTCGTTACTCACACAATGTATGTGAGTATACATCACAATGAGAATGCTTTCGCATAAATTCATGGTATCGACAATATGAGGAAGATGACAGGAAACGCGATTCCATTCGGCACAGCCGCTGTTGTAACGGACACGGTACCAGTTTCAGTTGTTAATTCGATTTGTTCAGCCTCGAAAATAACAGTAATTATATTGCAACTCTTCTAAGTTAATAATAGCAACTGCAAAGGCTATATTGTACATTAATTATGATTATAAGCATGTATGTATGTCATGTAAAGTTTACTCGGCATTATTTTAATAGAATTAGAGATAAAATTGTTTACAATTGTACCGCTGCTTCGATAACATCATTTAAATTGAAAATAATTTTGTTGATTTAACAACAGTAATAATAAAACAAATAAAATTAATAAAAAATAAAAAATATTATTCTTTATAAAAAAAGAATAAAAGATACTATGTTTACATTCATTTTTGATACGTTTCTCTGTATTTTTCATTTGTTCTCCAGAAACTTATTAAATTATCGAAATATACAAAAAGATAAATGAAAAATGAAATGTAACTGAATAATGCATAATCAAAATAAATGTCTAGTTATTGGCAATGGTTATTCGCGTAATCAATATAATATTCTGATTATCCAGTAATGATTATTCTTTACTAAAAACAATTTCCATAATGGTTATTCATAACCAAGAACAATTTCCGACATCGATAATGGTTATTCGTAATCAAAAACAATTTCGACCATCTATAATGATTATTCACAATCGAAAACAATTTCTATCACCAATAATTAACGCCTTCGAACCAAAGAATAAAAAGATATTCCATTTACTTAGTTTTATCTTTATTCTTTCGAAAAAGTGAAAACATAAAATCTACATTTCTAGTAAACTTAAATAAAACAAAGATATGCGGGATAAATGATCCATACTAATCTTTATACTCTAGAAAATGTCGGTGTAAATTCGAATCCCTGATGTTTATATCAACACCATCATGGTGTGGATTTAATTCATTTCATGGTGGACACCATGATGATGTTGACATGGATATGTAGAACACTATTGGTTTTAAATCTACATATCCATGGTCCACATGAAAACCAGATGTTAAATCTACACTGTGTTGTGTTAATTTAACACTATCACACTGAGAATTGTATAGACGGCGCATAGTTTTCACATTGCTATTTTTTAAACTGTACAGAATGATTCATAGTATAACTCTGGTAATTAAGGTCTGCAATAATAAAGTAAAAAAAAAAGAGAAAGAGATAATAAATAATAAATCTGATTTCGTTCTTTAGTAACAATTATTAAGATGTAATCGTATGACTTCGCAAAGTGGAAAGCGATGTGGAATGAAGAAGCGGAATCTTTTTCCAAATTAAATATTCTGGTGAAGATCGTGGCAGAGAGATGCAAGTTTAGCGATTTGGTGTCAGTAGTATGAAATTGTATATGTATGTCGTGTACCATGAAAAAGTGCGCGCTCTTTGATATGAACAAATGTAGCGAATGCAGTGATAAACTTACAATTCTGATGTTAGTTTCCTTATTCCTCTGCGAAAAATTTGTAAATTCGATTTTAAGCGCAATCACGATTTTCGATGGCGCTAAATAAAAAAAAGAAAAAACAGTTCGTTTTTTAGAAAACAAAAAGACGAGAAGAACAAACGGGACAAGAAGGGAGAGAGAGAGAGAGAGAGATGAAGGGAAGGGAGGGATAGAAGAGATTTATTTTACACCAAGAAAATCCACACTTACGAGGTCGCAATCGACACTTCACTCACAGTTCTCGGAGAGGAGGGCAAAAGATCTGTATGAACGATGAGATCTATGAGATTTAGGTCGGGACAAAATGCAAGGCTCTAACAGTAAGAAGGCCAAAGGGGAATAAGGAGAAATATTTCTGTTACACTTTTCAAAGACGTTTCTACGATTGACTAAAATCCAATGGTAGTAATGTCGCGCTAAAAGTTCGGCTGACAATCAAGGTGTCAAAGGCTCTCCGAGCGGCCAGCTAATCTGGAGTCAGCCGCAGCCTCATTGTTGATAAGAATGCCGTTTCTATCGCAGATAACGCGAATGTGCTCGTCAACCGCGAGCATAATGTCCCGCGTACGGAGACTGAGAATGAACGAGACGGACAACAACGAAGACGAAATCCAAAAGGAAGGAGAATCCACGCGCTATAAACCCCAAGGCAAAATTCACCAAACGTTTCCTCTGACAATGTAGGTTTGCAATTTTCTATGTGATGCGCTCGCGCGAACTCACGCCAGGCCACTGCATGCGATGCGATTACGCGGCGGGAACCAACCCTCCGCACCACGTCAACCCCACCACGAGCGCAAGAGAGCCACGCCACCCTTCTCTCGCGCTTACCCTCTGGCGGGAGATATCACGCCGTCGACCTACTCTTGTCTTTCGAGCGACTCTTCCGTCTTCAAGCCGTCGACGTACTACGCTCATATTCGACTGCACTACCCTCGTACTCCGTCCCCGCGATACATCGTGTTTCCCGATCGTGATACTGTATGTGATGCGTGAGTACATGTTTCACCTGTCATATGCATTATCCAAAAAGTCAATGGTTGATGAGAAAAAGAGTGCAGTGGAATTTTGAAAATGAGATCGATGAAAAATAATTCTCGAACGCAGATTACGTACAGATAGTTTTCATAGAGTATATGAAATTGCTTTGCATATATATATATATACGAGTATATATATATATATATATAAAGCCTCCTATTATGAGATAGGCGCCTAATACGAGATAATGGCGTTTTTGCTAAACTAATAGATGCTATCTATTGATTCCACCATGAATTTATTACTCTTAGATTGAAAACTATTTAGTAGAAAATTCATTATTAGATCATGCCTATAGTCATTGTAAGAAAAGATTTTAGAATTTGGATATGCTCAAGTTTCATTGAGATGAGCCTTTAAACATTGTTTATTATTTAATAAATAAATATTTGGCAATAAACTCTTCATGTAGTGATAGAATAGAGGTCGTACTAATAGAAAAATATGGGATATGTTGAATTGCTTAATTACAGAAGTTAGATTTGATAATCGGAAAACCGTAAGGCATGTGAAAATTGTAATGAGATACCCAGGGTATTTCTATTATAATATGAAATAACTCATGCTCCTATGTCATAAATACCATAAAAAAATGAAAATCGTTGCTAAAGTATAAATGTTATTGTACAATAATAAAAAAGACAACCGGAATGAACGTCGAGTGCCTATTTTTGCGATGCTTGATTTTAACTACATTCTGTCAAAAAAGTACTGGGAATTGTTAAATAAAACACGAAATATTCATTTATTCATCAAAATTTATTTTATCGCCTTTAAAATAGATCCTATTCGACGCGATACACTTATGCCAGCGAATTATCCAGTTATGGAAATACTTCTGAAACGCATTTGTATGACCTTCAGTTCCTTTTTCAAATTTTGTTTTATGACTTAAAACGTTTTCCCTGAAGTGGTAATTTGAGTTTGGGGAACAGAAAAAAGTCATAAGGGGCGAATCTAGCGAATACGGTGCTTGGTCGATATTCATTGAGTTTATGGCAAAAAATTTAACATTTTCAACGATTCGGCACACGGCAATTTCGTTTGCAACACAAAATTTGAGGCAAATTCTTTGTTCGATATTTTTATCTATAATAAAAATCAAAAAACACTTGAGATCAATTAATATAATCAACAACTGTGAACAAACTAGTTGATAGATCGCGCTCTAACTCTGCGTCATAATGTGGTACAGTAGTGCCAACTTACAGAAAAAAAAATTTTTGAAATATCTTTTGTGCGGGCTTTTTAAATGACGAATACCCAGTACTTTTTTGACAGAATATATCTGAAGACGAGTTCTGGGTATAATGTATCGCATTCTTATTTTTCGCGCATTCTGGCTGTGTTTGTTTGTATTTAAGAAACATTGAATAAAGTTTTTTAGTTACAATACTGATATACTTTAGGTTTTACTATCGATTTCTCGGGGCATCTCATATTAGAAGTACAATACAATTTATTGACTTTGCGATTTGCTCACTTTTTACATTTCTTTAATTAAAAAAAAAATGGAATTTAAATTAAATTTTATATAACATTATCTTAAAGCTTATTAAATTCCCTTCAAAATGACCTATTATTTTTTTAAATTCTGCCTATAGAGACTTCTAGCATTTATCTAAAATGAACTCGGTATCTCATAATACGGGCTTTTCTTCTACATGCACATATACAATAGGTGTGTATATATTGTGATCGTACTCGCGGCACAACTCCATCGCGTTTCCTCATACAAAAATACCGAGAATTTGGTCTCCCATACTCTAAAAAAAATATCAAAATTAATCTCCAAGTGATCGTTCAATTACTGTTGGGCGTCAGGAACGAGAGAGCGTGCGACGCTTTTGTGCGACGTTATATGTAGTTAACTCGAAAGTCGAAATTCTTTTCGCAATTATGATCAGATCGGAGATTTGTCATGCAGGATTTTTTATCGCGACAGGCGGAACTGACTGCTCAGCTACGGTGGGTGTTTCGCGTGAGCGGAGAAAGTTAGAGGACGAGAAGGTAGTATCACATAAAATTAAATGTAACAAATACCAATATATATTTGAAGATTGTGTACAAGACGTCGGTCATAATAAAAGGCAGGCCGTGTACAATCAAGCTCGGCAACCGCGGCGCGTACAATGTACTGTTGAGCACTCTATATGCGCGAAAGAATAATCTCAGAATCGATGAACTGAGTTCGTAAAGAAGAGAAGTCGTCTCACACAAACAGCTTTCATATAATCGAGCCAAGGCTCTCGCTCTCAAGCATTATTTCTCGACTCAGATTCAAGATGTGAACAAAAAAATTCACGGGGCAACTGATCGTTTTGTCCCAAACGCATAAAGAAAATAAATTCATTAGGACATTATTGTTAACACGCAATTACATAAAATGACGGCAGAAATGACTTAATTGCGACGAGAGGGACGATATAAAAAAACTAATACGATATGCAAAACAATTCGGGCGGGGCATCCAAAACTCTCAATAAATAACTTCTCATTCAAAGAACAAAAGATCGACATAAATTCGTAACGCACAATCCGCTAAGTCTCGTGATATCAGGATCGACAGCCTCACATGAAATTGGAACTCGTCTCACTAATTTCGCCTCCTCAGTCCTTCCTCTGATGCTCTTCGGTTCATCGATGTTTCCTAATGCTTTCCTCGATGTCTATCTACTTTTCAAAAGATCGTGCCAATATGGAGATCCTACGTCCTCTCCAAGCATTCTCAGCTCGTGCCACAATGTAACAAACGTAAATGAATTTCCCGAATTTTCCGCAGGAGATACGCAGGCTGCAAGGCTCTGTGCGGTGGAATCATCTCGCGCCCTAATTGGGCGCGAGATGATCTCATCGCTTATCTTCACTTCCCGCGAATCACATAGGTCTGCGATAATCGTGCAATTTTTCGCGCTACGACGCGGAATCCAAATTGTCAAGCAAATTATTATTCAAGCAGTCAAATCTTCTCACGCGGAATGGACCAGGGCAATTCCTCGTACAATCTCGAGCTCACCGTTACTTGTTAGAGCAAGTCGTTCGTTTTTGCGATGCTGTCCTCATCTTCTGGTCAGATCCTCTGCTGCTTCCTCAAAGAAGGTTCCCGTTTTGGATACCCAACCTTCTTACAATATAAGACACGATTAGCGGGCGCGAGAAGAAAGTAACATACAAGAAATATACGACTTGCATTTTCCTGCTCCCGAGAACGCACGGAGCCTCCACGGCGATGTCTTGCTTGAGTTAATTTTCTCTTCGGCGGCGACCCGGTAAGATGACAATACACAGAACAAGGTAGCAGAATGGTCACAGATCTTCACGCTTTACTTGCTAATAAAATGTCTCTAAAAGGTTAAAATTAATAAGAAAAATTAATCGGCGTTTAATTATATTGCGCACGCGAATACGCTCGCTCTCTCGAGTAGGGAGGACGCAGGATCCATTCGCAAATCAATGACAAATGGAAAACGTCTCATCACTATAATATATGTATATAATATCTATATACGCAGGGTGTTCGAAAAGTCCCAGACCCCTTAAATATCTTGAAAAGTAAACATTTCTGAGAAAAATGTTGCATACAAAAGTTGTGTAGTTTAAAACGATCTATTTACTGATCTTATCAGTTTTGGTGGCGTTGCCAAGGACAAATCGATTTTTTTAAATGGAACACCCTATTTTTGATGCTAGAATTTAATAGCTAGCGTCAAGAGTTTTTCAAAGCACTATAATAAAGTTATTTTTTATTAAGTACTTTTCCAGATATAAGGCTTGTAAGTTACAGTATTGCTGGCATTAGTACTATCAAAGGTGTCAGAATAACGACTAAAACCTCTTAAATGTTATTCAGAATCATGATCTGGATAACATTTGTTAAGATCAAGACCATTGGAAGTTGTACCTACCTCTTATTTTCATTTTTATGTAAAAATGAACTTTTAGTGCAAAAATGTGTTTCGTTTAAAAAAATCGATTTGACGCTGATCTCGATGGCGCCATTAAAGATCAAACTGATAAGATCAGTAGATAGATTATTTTAAACTATACAACTTTTATATGAAACATTTTTCTTAGAAATGCTCATTTTTCAAGATATGAGGGGTTTGGGACTTTTTTGAACACCCTGTGTGTGTGTGTGTGTGTGTGTGTGTGTGTGTGTGTGTGTGTGTGTGTGTGTAAAACAGCAAATACCGTACATTAAAGAAATATCCCGCAAAGTTTGGTTGCAAACCGATCAAACTTTTTCAACGTTTGGCAAGCCTCTTTATACCAAATATGTATATATCTATACCAACATAATCTTAATATACCTAAAATAATTTGCTAAATATGCTGGAAAAAATTAGTCGATTCTTTCTTTATATACGTTATATAAAAAAATATTCAAGTCTGAGTATTTCTGTAACAGTTATAAAAGTCGATAAGCACAAGAGCTTTAAAACAATCACGATTGAGTCTTCATGCCTAATATAAAATAGATAAAATAGTTACAAAATTGTACTTAAACGAGGTTTAAAATTATTATTTCTACTTATCACAAATAATTCTCGTCACATCATACACATTTTCTTGTAATGAATAACGAATTTCGCTAAACCTATGACATAAATGGACGTAACAATGTAAAACATGTTCTGAAAAGCATTACGATTTAACGAGGATACGCCGATGATGTA